AACACTCAAAGCGGCACTCTTATCCGCCGAGGTGTTACATATTTACGACCCGCTTCTAGCTACGCGCGTCACTACCGATGCGTCGGGCTATGGCATTGGGGCCGTCCTTGAGCAGCACGACGGCACGGACTGGCACCCGGTCGAGTACTTCAGCAAGAAAGTACCTCCTGTGCATTCGATCGACGACGCACGGAAGAAGGAGCTTCTTGCCTTYGTCCACGCCCTCAAGCGTTGGAGACATTTCCTCCTTGGTCGGAAAGCATTCCGATTGGTAACGGATAACAATCCGTTGGTATTCTACAAGTCGCAAGACACGATTAACAGTACCATTGCCCGATGGATGATTTTCATCGACCAGTTTGACTTTTTCCCCGATCACATTCCCGGGAAGTCAAACCGTTTTGCGGACGCCCTCTCACGGCGACCGGATCTTTGCACCGCAGTCTACTCTACCTTCGAGATTGACGACGACTTGCGGGAGAGTTTCATCCGCGGCTATCAAGCCGACCCCCACTTTCGCGACAAGTACGCAAATTGCTCATCTCCGAATCCGGTGCCTTCGCATTATCGGATCCAAGAGGGCTACTTACTTGTGCATTCACGAGGTAAGGATCTTCTTTGTGTGCCGAGTGATTCACACTTGCGCACACAGCTTCTTGGCGAGTTTCATGATACGCCCGCCTCCGGACATTTTGGTGTCAACCGTACACTTGGCCGACTTCGCCAGCGGTTCTATTGGCCCGAACTTCTCAAGGACGCCACCCGCTATTGTGAGTCATGCGAAGTTTGTYGGCGTTGCAAGTCACGCAACCATCGTCCGTTCGGCGAGCTACACTCATTACCAGTACCCCTTGGGCGACGGGAAGCGATCGCTATGGACATCACCGGCCCCTTCCCAAAGCACAAGACCGGCGTTGATGGGATCTTCACGGTCGTCGACCGCCTCACCAAGTACGCCATGTTTTTGCCTTGCCGCTATCACGCAAAGGCACCGGAGTTAGCCGAGGTCCTATACACCGGTTGGATCCGCTCCAAGGKCTACCCCAAGGAGATCGTTTRCGACCGGGACACTCGCTTTCTCTCCGACTTTTGGGTCGCCCTCGTCAAACGATGGGGCTCATCRTTGAAGCCGAGTTCGRCTCGCCACCCGCAAACCGAYGGTCAGACGGAAAGGGCGCATCAGACCGCTCAAGTCCTCCTACGCACTCTCATCCGTCCTGACCAGGTTGATTGGGTCGAGCGCTTGCCAGACGTTGAGTTGGCTTACAACTCATCGATCCATCCGGCTATTGGCATGTCGCCATTCGAGTTTGAGCATGGTTCACCCATCTCATCGCCGCTGGACGCCATTTTGTCGCGCACAGCCGAAAGCGACGACCATCTTGCGTTCCTTCGTCGCATGCAAGAGCTTCTTGTCAAGGCACGGGATCAGATGTCAAAGACGCAAATACGGATGAGCCGCCAAGCCAACCGCAATCGTCTTCCTTGCCCGTTCCGCGCCGGCGATCTGGTTTGGGTCTCCGCCGCGGAGTTCAGCCTTGAACAAGACATCTCTCGCAAGCTCCTTCCCAAATGGATGGGGCCTTGGCGCATTCTCTCTGCAGTTGGTGATGATCCCGAGGGGCCTTCATTCCGCATCGCGGTGCCACCTCACTTGCCCGTCCACACGGTGTTCCACTGTTTCAAACTCGCTCCTTTTGTTTTGGCAGAATCCGACGAGTTTCCTGGTCGACGTACGCAAGACCCTCCTTCCATGGACGGATTTCAGGAGGCCGGCTACATCATCACCGACCGGCGCCATGGCAACAAGGAAACGGAGTTTCTACTTCACTTTTCCTACTGCAGCCACAAGGCTGACCGTTGGYTGACGCGTTCGGAACTGCAGGCCACCGCCCCCGCAGTTCTCTCACGTTATTTAAGCAAGGAGAAGACTACGCCGGGTACTTCAGCTCCCCGGCCTTCTCGCTACGTTCCGCCATCAGATCGACAGCTTCACTCGCGCCCCGGCTCATCTTCATAAGGAGGGGGGCTTGTTACATGCTGAGAGCCTCCACACGGGCCCCTCACGGGACCCGAGGTTGGA